AGCATTCTTGCTGAAAGCATCACTAGCATTTGTTTTAAAAGAATGAAGGGATGGGGGGGGGAGGGGTGAGTAGCCTGTCTTAAGAGTACTGCTTTATAAAGCATTTCAGCCTTTTTTCCTCAGTTTTGCATTGATTTTGACATGTCTGTAGAGTCAAATAGCTTTATTTGTGATTAGTTTTCTTGCTACTAACATTATTTTCTCAAATTTTCCCTCCAAAGTTCAGCTATTGAAAGTGAAACTATCCTTGGTCCCTTCAAGTGGAAAGGGATCAAATTTGACTCAGGGTGTTATTTTAGCCAACCATCATGAAGCAGTAAAATGTAAATGTTTCTTTGTTTATGGTGACATTAATCAGTGGTGGACCACCAGGTAGCTCTGATACTAGCCCACCCAGCATAGTTCACAAGCATCACAGAACACCCAGCACATAGCCCAGGCTGCACATCCGGCTGGGAAGCGCTTAATGAGCAGTCTCGCCACAGACAGCAATACCCCAGGCACAACCAGCATAGTCCACAGACCAGCAGCCAGAGGGGGAGCACTTAATCAGCGGTGGACCAGCCGGTAGCTCTACCACTAGCCAACCCACCATAGTTCCCAAGCCGCACATCAGGCTGGGGAGCGCTTTAACAGCAGTGGAACAGCAGTAGCTCCTCCCCAGCCCACTCAGCATAGACCCCGCGCCGTACAGCTGACCTCGGAGCGATTAATTAGCGGTCTCACCACAGGTGGCGCTGCCCCAGACCAGGCCAGGTTAGTTCACAGACCCTCCATCTGGCTGGTGAGTGCATAATTGGCGATGGACCAGCCGGTAGCTCCGCCCCCAGCCAATGCAGCAAAGTCCCCAGATCACACAGCAGGCACGAGATTGTTTAGTGAGCGGTCGCCCACAGGCAGCACAGCCCCAACCCCATCCAGCATAATCTCAGGAAGTCCCGGAGGCCTTGGGAGTGCTTATTCAGCAGTGTAACATCCTTAAGCAGGACCCAAGTCCGGCAATCATATTTCGCAGACACCCCAGCCAGCTTGGGAGCCCTTAATCAAGGGTCGAACAGCCCGAGGCAGGTCCCAAGCACAAACAGCATAGTACAGGGACCCTCCTGTCGCCGGTAAATGAATAATCAGTGGTCGCACAAAAGACAGAGTGGCCCTAGAAACAACCAGTATAATCCATGGACTTAATCAGCTCTCCAACAACCCTAAGCTGAACCCAAGTCTAACCAACATAGTCCCAGGACCACACAGCCAGTTGGGCAGCGCTTATTCCACACTCTCAAATATCACTGTGGCCCTAGGGCTGCCCAGCTTAGTCCCAAAACTGCCGATCTGACTGTGGAGTGGTTACTAAGAGGTGGACCAGGTGTTATCTCCACCTCCAAGCACACCCAGCATAGTGCCCAGGACACACAGCAGGCTGGGGAGAGCTTAATCAGGGGTAGAGTAGAGGGTAGCTCCACCCACAGCCCTCCAAGCATAGTCCCAGGCCATACAGCCAGCTGGGGAACACTTAATTAGTGGTCTCGCACAGGCGGTGCGGACCTATGTCCAACCAGCACAGTCCACAGACTCCCTTGCCGGCTGGGAAGCACTTAATCAGTGGTGGATAAACTGGTAGCTTTACCCCCAGCCCACCCAGCACAGTCCCCAGGACGCATACCTGCTGGATATTGGTTAATCAGCGGTTCACCAACAGGCAGCTTGGCCTGATCAACCAAACACAGTAAATGGACACACAACCTGTTTTGGGAGTGCTTAAATTATGGTCTATCATTCCTCAGCGGGCCACATGACATATAAGCATAAACCCCAGACCCCACAGCATGTTTGGGGTCCTTTAATCAGCGTTCCAACATACGTATGCGGGACCCAAGCACAACCACCATAGACCCGCGAACCACCATTCTCTGGAGAACGCTTATTCCGTGGTTGACAAATCAGTAGTGTGTCTCTAGTCCCTTCCAGCTTAGTCCCCAGACCGCCCAGGTGGCTGGGAACGATTACTCAGCTGTGGACCATATGGTAGCTCACAAGCCCACCAAGCATAGACCCAAGACAGCACAGCTTGCAGGAGACTGTTTAGCAGTGACCCAACAGGCAGCATGGTTCAAAACCCACCAGCATAATCCCTGGACATTGCAGAGGGCTTGGGAGTGCTAAGTCATTGCTCTAACATCCCTAGGTGGGACCCAAACCCAACCAGTATATTTCCCTGATATCCCAGCTGGCTTGGAAGCGCTTAATAAGGGGTCGAACAGTCTGAGGCAGGCCCCAAATCCAAACACCATAGCTCCAGGATCACACAGCTCTTTGGGCTGAGCTTATTCCACACACTCAAAATAGCAATGTCGTCCTAGGCCCTCCCATCATGGTCCCCAAATCACCCAATTGGCTGTGGAGCAATTACTACGAGGTGGTCCAGCCCTTAGCTCCACATCCAGCTCATTGAGAATTGACCACAGGCAGCACAGCCAGCTGGGGAGCTCTTTATTAGAAGTCTTGCCACAGGTAGCACAGCCTCAGGTCCAACCACCTTAGTCCACAGACTCCCCAGCTGGATGGTGAGAGCTTAATCAGTGGTCGCCCAACTGGCAGAGAAGAACCAAGACCCCACGGTAAGTCACTGGATGCCAGGCCAGCTTGGGAGCATTAATCAGCGGTGAACCAGCAGCAGCTCAGCCCCAGCCCACCCAGTTTACACCTCAGGCCGCACAGCTGGCATGGGAGCTATTAATTAGCGGTTTCACCACAGGTGGCAGGGCTGTAGGCTAAACAACATAGCCCACAGACCCCCAAGCCCGCTGGGGAGTGCTTAATCAGTGGTGGACCAGCGGTATCTCCACACCCAGTCCACCCCGGATAGTACGACTGCTCCACTGCTCAGTTAGCTTCCAGCACTGTTTCCTCTGCTACCATGGCTCCAGCTCCCTGGTGGCACCTCCATACCCTAGCCGCATACCACATGCACGCAGGTGAACCAATTTGTCCATCCATCACAGACCACAGACGACGTGGGAGGAGGATGGGACAGCGGTCGCCCGGCAGAGGGACATTTCATCGGCTGGGTTCCTGATGGTGGGACAGCAGCACGTCCACCACGGGAAGGTGGGCACAGCATTGACACTGCATCAGACCAGTTCTTGGGTCTCACTAGGTGCAGCAGAGCCCGTTCCCACCATAGGCTTGCTTGCGATCACCTTGGCCTGCTGCCTGCATCGGACTGGCAGGTCACAGGAGCCATCAGACCCAATTGTCTCGTGAGACCTGCTGATGTTCTCGGGAGACCTGCCGAGCCCAGCTCTCCCCAGCCCTGCCAGATGCTGCGAGATTGGGGCAGCTGGCTTGCCCTGATTAGCCCGCCCACCAATCCACGTGTGCTGCAGGACCACCTCCACGCGAGAACCCCCAGGCCATTCTCTCGCCACAGCATCTCTGGCCGTCTTCTTGGCTGGCCCTGTGACACATGTGCGCTGAGATCTCGCGAGAGATGAGCCAGCCCGTTAGGAGATTTGCGGCCTGGCCCCTGGTGCCTGCGGCCTGGCAAGATCCATAGGTCTCACCTGCTTCTGGCTGCTGTGCGGTGATTGTAAGCTTTAGGAGACCTGACGTTGGACCTCACAGGCTGAAAATCTCACGCATAGAAGCAGGTGGGGACAGAAAGAACTCACAACACAATCGTGGAAATCAAACCCCTCAGTGCCGTAACCCTCGGCCGAAGGGCCAAGCAGTTCTCAGGCTGCTCGAGCACACTGCTAGAGGGTATGTCACAGGCACAGACCTGAGGTCAAGATGCAGGGATGGAGCCATTGGGAAAGGGATTACAACAAGACGGGTCCCTGGATGAGTCCACCTATGTGTCCAAGAACAAAAGCAAGCAGGCCACTCCACAGGGGCCTCACACCCTCTGAAGGTGATCAGGACGGTAGCAGGGCTGGCTCAGCATGGGCACATGGCAGCAGTCTTTTGTCCACCCGTACGCTTTCAGGTGCTCCTTGCCACCCACTCTCCCTCTTCAGGGGGGGCCTGCATCACTCCATGCCTGGGACTCTGTGCATTGGCCTCCCTCTGCGGAGGCAGCTCTCTGAGGTAGGCCACCAGCCTGCACCCATGCAGGTCTCTCTCAGCACACTGTTCCCCTGGGGGCAGCTCTTGCTGCCTGATGGTTCCTGAACATGAGGCCTCCTCTTCCTCTGGCCTTTGTCCTAGAAGACCTGCTCATTTCATAGGAGGGTGTTTCTGTGTCATGGAGCAAGTCGCCTCTGAAGCTGGTCATGTGCCCTGACAGGCCAGCTCCAGGAAGAAACCTTTCCCAGATGAACCTCAGGACTCCACACTGACTCCAAAATCCACATCAGACCACATGGACCAACAGCAAAAATTACAAATGAAGATGGGATAACAAAGGCTCTCGAATGGGATTCAGCCAGACCCTGAATAAGAAAGCACAGGTGGTCAGCTGAAGGTTGGTCACAGTTGCCAGTGACTGGGGAAGGGTCTTGGAAGCCCCAGCCCCGGACAAACATACCAATGGCGGCTGCTTTTAGAGTGCACCAGGGTTAGCCTGGTGCACTCTAAAAGTTCATGCAGACATCCAGGAAGAGTGCCTCTCCAAGAGCTCCACCGTCATTAGACCTGCCTGCCACTGCAGGGTCTTCTGTCTCAGAGTGAGGAAACAAGGTCCAGTTACTTGGGCTTGCCTGAGTTGGACTCCAGGACTGGATAGTTGTTCCCCACGGTGCAGCAGAGCTCTCCTGCCTCCTTGCTGTTGCACTCAGCGGGGGGCTTCAGTGGAAGTGGACCTACCTCCTGTTCTGCTCCCTACTCTCTCTCCTCTCTGCTGAGTCCTCTCACTGCACTCTACTCCTACTTTCCTCCATGCCATTCTGGATGCCCAAAGGTATCCTCAGCAATCGGAACTGAGACTTTAACCAAACGCGCAGGTCCTCATGTTATATGTTGCCCATCATGTCCATGCTGTGTGTTTTTCTGTTCCCTTTCAGAGAAGCATCCCTGTCTCCTGCCTTCAGCAGTGCGTGTTCTTGTCTTGCCCTCTGGACAAATGGAACCTGCTGCTCCCAAAGAAGACAAGTGGAAATCTGAGTGCAGCTTGGATCCCAGCCAGGCTGCTGCACCCAAGCACATCGCAGAACCCCAGCATCATCAAAAGCTCAAGCCCAGTCATCATGACAGCCCTAGGCAGTTCCTGCTGAAGAAGGCCCGATAGACGAGGTGTGATTGTTTGTATATGTGATTTGTGGTTTTTGTTTTGGGCGGGTGGGTGGGTGAATGTGTGGGTGGGCCAGAGTGTGAGCCCGAGTCCTGTGGGACACAGAGTGGCCGACACCATGAGAAGAACACACGGAATAAAGAAGGCTGTCATGTTGTTCCCACGGCTGGACACCCTAGAGCCTTCAGCTCACAGAGAAGGCCTGGCGTCTTGCTATAGGGCTCTCAGTCTACTTAATTTTTCAGGCTGTTGTGGGGCACCAAGTTTTCCAAAGAAGTATGGACAGGCATCCTCTGGACACTGTTGCAGTCCAGCCACCCCTGAGCTTTGTGCACGTGGATCCAAGCCCCGCATGTGACTGTGGAGTCGTGGATGCCCAATGCCTGTGCCTTTCTGCTTAGTCCCAGAACTGTGGGTGTGGGCTATCCTCACCTCTCAGAGGCTTGGTTTTCACTCCATGGGCCTGCCCTGGCATGTATGCTGCCCGACCAAAGACGCCTAGGGGAACGATCCCTGGGCCTGTGTGTGGGGCTCTCCTGGTGTCCCGTGGGTGTCTGGATAGCACACTTGTTCTGCTGGAGCCTGCGCTGACCCTCCCCTGCATGCTGTGTCTTCTCCAGGTCTGTAGACCCTTTGCAATGCAAGTGTATCTGTGTTCACCAGCAGGTCGCTGTGGTGCTAAATAAAGTCTGGCAAGGCACTGACCTTGCCAAGGAGGCTCTATATAAAGTTTTGCTGCCCCCATGTGGTCAAAGATTTCCCTCGCGGGCCAACAAAACAGACCATTGTGTGGGTGTCAGGAAGGATGGTGACCTTTTGGATGGGGCTCAGTCATGTCTCCAAGACATTCTGCTTCCCAAATGATTAGCTCTTGTCGTAAGAACAGTGAGAGAGAGAGAGCAAGAGATCAAGAAAACAAATCTTAAAATCACACACAGTGGAGACACTGGCCTTAAGGATACTACTCAGGTGATTGTAATTGAACCACAGGGAGGACTCCAGCTCCTTGGGAATCAAACGGAAGTCACAGCAGTGCAGTTCCAAAGACTGCATCTGATGTGGCGGGAACCAGGACAGGTGGAAGCACTTGGATGTGTAACAGGTATAGGTTTCATGGACTCCGCCCCCACTCCAGATACTGGAACTCCAAATCCTATCAGTACCAAGGAGAAGCATGATGGGACGTGAGGGCAGAGCTGAACAACCAGGTTGGGATAAAACCCGACATGTGGGCTCTGGGTGCCTCTTGGCCTGGTGGTTTGCGTCTGATCGTTTTGGCTCTCAATCGGTTTTTCAGCGTGCTGGTGGAGTCCAAGTCAGCAGAACTGGTAGGACATTCTAGTTAACTTGTATTTCTCTCCCTCTTTCTCTGGGTTATTCCTTTACCTTTCTCCTTATAAATAAATCCATTATTTGACCTTTTTGAGTGGGTCCATAATACGATTGAATCATAAGCACGCGGGTGCAGACCCACAGACAGGCAACCCAATTCACACTGGGGTGCCCTGTAACAGATTTGGCGCCCAATGTGGGGCAGTTACACCCGTAGTTGACTAGCCCAAGTACCTGGCGTTGATCACCGTAAGCACATTAGGTCTACAGGACACGTGTCTTCAACATTTTTAGGTCTTGAGAATTTTTTTTTCTCTTCTTTGTGTTAAGCTCTTGGTTATGTTTAGCACCATGAGTTTGAGCCGTTTTATCACCAGCTTGAGTTCTTTCAGTTTTCTTCCGGCCTTAAGCCTCGGTACCCTTTTTCCTTTGACTATTACCACCAGTTTTATAAACATAAATAACCTAGTGAAACCTGGTTTGTGGCAAATAATTTTGCTTCTGGATACATCCATGGGTGGTCTACAAGCCACAATCTGTGCTCCTGGGTGTCTTTTTGGTATTGTGTATCAGCATTATTTGCTACAGTTTTGGTTCTATGAGAGGCAGAAGCTCTACTAAATCTACTGAGAATATGCAACATCAAATTCAGGCTCTTAATGAAAGACTGCAACTTCAAATTCAGACCCTTACTGAGAGCATGCAGCCACAAATACAGGCCCTTAACTTGGCTATTAGTAATGTGAAGAATGAAAATCGTACTGTTTTTGATGTACCCTGTCAGACCATGCAGGACCAGATACAGGTCCTTAACTCGTGAAGAATGAAAATCATACTGTTTTTGATGCAGCCTTTCAGTCTATGCAGGGCCAGATACAGGCCTTTAACTCGACTATTATCAGTGTGAAAAATGAAAATCGTAGTGTTTTTGATGCAGCCTCTCAGTCTATGCAGGACCAGATACAGATTACGATGACGAAAAATCTTATTGCTTTTAATTCGGCTTTTGATAATATACGAGATGAAGTATTGGCTATAAGAGATGGAGAAAGTACTGATTTTGATTCTGCTTTTAAAAGTATGCAAACCAAGATGGAAGATATCCTCCATAAATTGAATATGGCCGAATCTAGGATAATGGCACAAACAATAGATAAGCCTCTCCCTGAGGACTGCAGAAGGGTGGAGTTGGAAGAGGAAGAGTATCATCTGCTGAATACCTTAAACCCTTCAGCACAAAATCCCTCTCTGCATGACAATGCCCCTCCTGTAGAAGCTCCTGAGGCTTCACAGCTTCCACCCACCTCTGGAGAAGAAATTATCATGGCTTCTCCTCACACTAGACAGGACATTCATTTTGGCAATAAAAATTGTCAGAAAATGGGGCAGTTCCCTCTACGATGAATACCAGTGGGTGGTTTAAATGAATGCCGACAACAATACTTTTGGTCGCATCATCCTTTTAGTACCGCAGACCTCCTAAATTGGATGAACTCTCTCCCTTCGTACAGGCAGAATCCTGAGAGGATGGCGACCTTGTTTTCCTCTGTTTTTCTGTCTCACTGTCCTAACTGGGCGGATATCCAATCAATGATACAAGCTCTATTGACTACAGATGAACAGAGGATGGTTCTAAAAAAAAAAAAAAAAGCTAGAGCTAGGTAGGAGGCTGAGCATCTCCATCAACAGGATGTAGAATCCCCATAACCAGAGGCGGCTGTTCCGACAGTAGATCCCAACCGTGATCCCAACGATGGGGGAATGGAAATGTTAAAGATCTATAAAAAGTGCCTATTGGTAGGGCTGAAGCAGGGGATTCCTAAGCACAAGAATTTCAATAAAATTCTGGAGCTTGGTAAGAGAGCTGATGAAGATCCTTCACAGCTCCTTGAGCGGATTATCCAGACTTATGCCAATCACACTGATATTAATCCAATTGCCCCAGAAAATTCTCGTGTGATTTCAATGGCATTTATTATGAATAGTGCTCCCGACATAAGGAAGAATTTAACAAAGGTGGATGGCATCACAGAAATGAGTCCATCTCAGTTAGTGGACATAGCATTTAGAATTTATAATGAAAGAGAAGAAAAGAGACCTAAATCTGCTACTCTCTTTGTACAGAGGGTACAAAGAACAGAGTTTCAGAGAAATAGTAATAGAGTGTCAGGAGGACACTGGAGACGAGAACCCAGGAGGCGTGAACCCTTGGGGAAAAATCAATGTGCTTACTGCAGGGAAGAGGGACATTGGAAGTGTGATTGTCCCAGATACAGGGCAACAGGAGGCGATATAATGACAGGAGGCAAGTAAGAAGGCTAGTGGCACCTCAAAATAGTGCTTAACGTAGGAGTTACAGGAGGAAATATAGAAGGAGCACAAGGGATCATGAACTGAGGAGAGAGGAAAAGAGGTAAATGATAGCACAGAGCAGAGACTCAGATGCAGATGCAGAATATGGACAAGGTAGAAGAAATCAAGAGCCAACTACCAAGGAAAGGAGACTCATGGTAGCGCACAGGAGGGATTCAGATGAAGAATAGGGAGGCCCAGGGGCTCCACTAGATTTAAAAAAGCCCATTAAGATAACCCCCTTGGAGCCCCGGGTAACACTCAATGTGGGGGACCGTTTGATTGATTTCCTGGTGGACACTGGAGCGACATACTCTGTTTTGAATTCTAAATTGGCAAAGGTGAGCAAACAGACAGTGCCAGTTACAGGGATCACAGGAAGGCCACAACAGAAAGCCTTCCTGCAACCTCTGGAGTGCCAGCTGGGTACCACTCAGCTCCAGAACAGCTTCCTGTACATGGAAGAGTGTCCAATTCCTCTACTTGGTCATGACCTTTTAAGTAAGCTGAATGCACAAATTACGTTCTCACCTCAAGATCAGAGACTCCACCTACTGGTGCCTCCAAAACATGCTTTGCGGTTCCAGATGTTACTTACTCAGGATGTTCTACCAAAAGGTGAAGTGTTACCCTTAGAGATCATCGAAAGAGTAAGTAAATGGGTATGGGCTGATGGGACCCCAGGACGGGCGAAAAATACGGAGCCTGTGAAAATAGAGGTAATAGACGGGAGCAAAACCCCGAGGAGGAAGCAATACCCTTTACAGGAGGAGGCGCTGAAAGGAATTGAGCCAGTTTTAAAAAGGTTCCTTCGATCTGGACTCATTCGTCAGTGTCGCTCACCATATAAAACTCCAATTTTACCAGTGAAGAAACCTCATACTGGCGAGTACCGTTTTGTCCAAGACTTAAGGGCCATCAATGAAATTGTCAAAGATATACATCCAACTGTGCCTAATCCATACACACTACTAACCGCCATACCAGGTGACTTTGGGTGGTTTTCAGTATTAGATCTTAAGGATGCCTTTTTCTGTATCTCTGTAGATGACCGGGATCAGTTACTTTTTGCCTTTGAATGGGAGGACCTTAAGTCCAAAAGCACTCTCCATTATTGCTGGACTGTGCTTCCACAGGTGTTTAAGAACTCCCCAACTATTTTTGGGGAAATACTAGCCAGGGATTTAAGGAAAGTTAAATTAAACCAGGACATCTTATTACAGTATGTAGATGATTTATTGATTGCAAGTCCAGACTATGAATCTTGTCTGGAAATACCATAGTGTTATTGAATCACCTGGCAGAATGTGGCTACGAAGTATCACCTCAAAAGGCACAAATATGTAAGTAAATTGTGACATATTAGGGGTTTGAGATTACAAAAGGAAAACGAAGCCTTATGACAGAAAGAAAACAGGTGATTACAGCCCTTAAGGTCCCCAGCAACCGGAGGCAGCTGCGTGAATTTTTGGGTATGGCTGGGTTTTGCAGGATTTGGATACCTAATTTGGATTGATAACAAGACCCTTATATGATGCACTAAAAGTTCTAGACTGAACCTTTGTCCTGGACTACAGAATGTCAAAAAGCCTTTGATAAAATAAAGAATAAGTAATCTCAGCTCCAGCATTAGGGCTGCCAGATCTTAGAAAACCGTTCAGACTATATGTGCATGAGAGACAGGGGTTTAGCCTAGGTGTGATAATCCAATTCTTGGGACCAGAAATGCAGCCTGTTGTACATCTGTCTAAACAATTGGACCATACCACTAAGGGGTGGCCTCCATGTTTACATGCCGTTGCGGCAACTTGTGACATCCTCTGTGAGGCGGAGATATTTACATTAGGTCAACCCATCACCGTGTATGTGCCGCATCAGGTTTTAACATTGCTGGAGCAAAAGGGCAGACTTTGGTTGACTGCTGGGCGAATCGGGAAATACCAAGCAGCTTTTTTAGACAATCCTAATGTAAAACTGCAAGTTTCTAATTCTTTAAACCCTGCTACATTGCTCCCAAGCAATGTTGATGAATCTGAGAATGACAATTTAATCCACAATTGTTTAGAAGTCATCGATACAGTGTATGCCAGCCGACCGGATCTGACTGACCAGCCTCTGCCAGACCCAGAGTGGGAACTATTCACAGATGGCAGCAGCTTCATGGACCAAGGCCGATGATGTGCAGGATACACAGTGGTGACACTCCAGGACACCATAGAAGCCAAGGCTCTTCCAGCAGGCACATCAGCACAGAAAGCTGAATTGATAGCCTTGACCCATGCCTTGGGACTGTCTGGAAGGTAAATGAGTCAATATATTTACTGATTCAAAGTATTCCTTCATGATTCTCCACATGCATGGGGCTATTTGGAAGGAGCGAGGACTCCTTACTGCCAGTAACAAAGATGTTAAGCACCCATTGGAAATCCTGGCCTTGCTGAAGGCAGTAGCTTTACCATCAACGGTAGCCGTGTTGCATTGTCCCGACCAGCAGAAGGGTGGGTCTGACACAGCTAAGGGCAACAGGGAAGCTGACTGGTTGGCAAAAGCTGCTGCTCGCTCTGCTCTCCAGGGTGCACTTATCCCTCTTGTGGACCTAACTCAATATGCTCCTGAATACACAGAGTAAGATGAGAAGAGAGCTCGTGAATGGGGATTTACTGAGTTTGACCCCAGCTCCACTTGGAGAGTAAACTCCCATGGGATGATACTCCTCCCAGAGGCTCTAGTATATCCAGTACTGAAACATCTGCATGAAGGATCCCACTATGGGAGAGACACTTTATTAGAGACAGTGCGTTCATATTTGAAGGGCCCATATTTACACAAGACAGCACAACGGATCACTCGAGGTTGTCAAATATGTGCCCGAAATAACCCAAAGACTAACTTGCACTCTAAAGCTACTGGGGTTCAATATCGGGGCAAGTGCCCTTTTGAGGACTGGCAGGTGGATTTTACAAATGCCTAGAACCACCGGCAATTTCAAATACTTAATGGTTTTCGTAGATACCTTCTCAGGATGGGTAGAAGCATTCCCCACTAGGACCGAGAAAGCTTTGGTCTATTAAAAGAGATAATCCCTCGCTTTGGTTTACCTGACTCTATCCAGAGTGATAATGGGCCTGCATTTGTCTCTAAAATTACTCATACAGTAAGCAGTGCTTTACAGATTAACTGGCAATTGCATGCTGCATGGAGACCACAATCTTCCGGACAAACTGAAAAAATGAACCACACTTTAAAGAAGACCTTGGTGAAACTGTGCCAGGAAACACAACTGCGTTGGGACCAGGTATTATCCCTTGCCCTTCTCCGGATAAGAGTGGCACCTAGAATGGGCTACAATTAAGCCCCTTTGAAATTGTGTTTGGAAGACCCTTTCAGGCCTCAGTTCTAAAGGCCACTCCAGATATAGAACAGGATTGTAGGGTCACACAATATGTGAAACACATCCAGGAGGTATTGGCAATAATGCACAATTTTGCAATATCAAGGACCTCTGTGCCTCCTGATGAACCACTACATCCTTTCAAACCTGGAGATCAGGTCTTACTCAAGAGTTGGCAGAGCGGAGATGCCCAAAACCAACTGTCAGAGAAATGGACTGGTCCACACGATGTTTTAATGAGCACACATACTTTGAAACTTGCGGGCATAAAACCCTGGGTACATCATTCCAGAGTTAGGAAAGCCCCAGATGGAACTGACATACAGAGGAAACCCACCTGGTCTTGCGAACCTATTGAAGACCTCAAATATTTATTTAAGAAAAAGTAAAAAACTTAAATGGAACTAACTTTTCTTTTCTAGCTATGTGGCATTGTACTTCAAAATACACTTTCTGTAGGAACCCTGAGATGATGAACATGCTCTAACCATTTTTTTTTTCCTTTGGGAACATTTAGGAATATAACAATAACCATGCAATTTCGCTAGCAGTATTTTTTTTTAATTTGCTTTTACTACACAATAAGGCCTTCTGTCTTGATCTTGATATTTCCTTGGAAATTTTTTTTTACCATCTTGGCCTATATGAGTAAAACTGCAGTTACATAGATTCCACGTGGTATAACTTAGAAAAACTGTCTTGTCTATATGTTGCATGTCTGTACGTCTTGCCCTTGTGCTTAATTGTCTTGGCCTCGAGGTGTTATAAAATTGGTTTTGGTGGTACCTATAGATATTGAAAAGAAATCAAACAAACAAACAAAACTAATGAAAGCTGGTATACATGTTTTGAAAACAATCTGGGACAATTTTTGGTCCCTGGTAACTAATTTGTACTCTGTTTTAAAACAGGTGTTTCTAAGGTTGTATTGGGTATAATATTTTTTCCTTTTGCTTGGGTTGATAATGTAAGGGAAATGGAAATTTGAAAAAAAATTAGGGTTTCTGAGGACAAAGAGTCTCTTGTTATGAAGGAAAAAGAGCAAAAAAGTTTATGGTTTGACTGTTATGGTTTGACTGTCGATATTGCATTACTGACTGAGCTGGAGCTTTCAGAGAGATTGAGATTGTTGTTGTCTATTTTTTTTCATATTTGTGACAAAGCTTCCCAGAATTCAAAATTTGAAGAAAAATTTGGTAGTCTGTACTTTGGTTCATCAAAGAAAATTTTGTGGAACCTCAGTAGAGATCCTCAGACTTTCCACAAAATTTCTTCCTTTCTTCTGGAAAGGCATTTAGATCAATTTGGACTTTTTGGTTTACCTAGTAAAGAAGAATGACTGGAAAGGAAGAATTGTCACTTGGAAAAAATTGAAACATGGCATGAACATAAATGTTAACACTGGTGTTCTGAAAAGTGCATAAAAACATTATGATATCATATATTGTTTGAATTGTAAATAATGATTGTTGTCCTGAAATATTATATTTAATGGTTTGGCATTTGCAGAAACTGCTTCTGAAAAAAAAAAAAAGTTTACCGAGAAAGACCTCAACTGATTCCAATTGGTGGAAATTTTGACAGTGAAAAAAGACTTTCTACAAAGAACTGAACAGACTGATTTTTACTAAGTTTTTCTTTGAAATGATACTGGTATTTTTTCCCCATTTGATTCAAAGAAATTATTTTTTTTGCTTTCAATAACCAGAATCTGTGATAATTTTTTTCTTCAGCAGAACTAACGTGTATTCCTATCTTTCTCTCCCCTTGATACCAACACAGTGTAAAGATTGTGGTAATAATATTTACTACTTGAGTATTTTTGCATAACTTCAATAGAGAATTTTGTTCACTTAACCTAAATAAATTGGAAATGTGCTGGAAATGTGTTTCAGTGGCTTTGCTTGGCATTCTCCAGGAACTTCAAATAGAGCTGAACCAAGAAAAGGAGAACCTGCTGCTTTGTTTGTAGGGTTCCAGAGACCTCCAAAGACGGTGAGGAAGCTTGCCTCCGTTTGCAGGCCTGGACGACCCAGAAAAATAAAAGTCCTGGTAATCTTGGGAAGAGGAAGCTCCAGGTTGACTCTGCTGAGACCAACGTTGCTCCTGAAGCCTGTGTGGACTGGACATCGATGGTTTGCTCTGATCCTTAGGGAGGACTCCAGCAAGGCCAGCAACAACAACAACTTGCTACTTGATTATTCTGCCCTGTGATTTTATGCAAAAATACAAAAATGGTTAAAAGCTAACATATATTTGTAAATCACTTGTGCATACAAGTTGAACAAAGTTGGGATCAAGATTGAGAGAACCTTTTAAACAGCTTTTAACGTTGTTTTGTTCTGTTGCTATGATTTTGATATACACCAAGAAGTTTTTTTTTCCCTTTCACATGCACTAATGGACTATTTTCCACTTATGGCCGTCATATTGGATATTCATGGACAATGTTGGTAACTGACTGTACCCTAAAATCTGTGCTACCATAGATATGGTGGTATGAAAATCAAAAGGGGGGAATTGTAACAGGTACAGGTTTCATGAACTCCGCCCCCACTCCAGATACTGGAACTCCAAATCCCATCAGTACCAAGGAGAAGCATGATGGGACGTGAGGGCGAAGCTGAGCACCCAGGTTGGGATAAAACCCGACATGTGGGCTCTGGGTGTCTCTTGGCCTGGTGGTTCGCATCTGATCGTTTTGGCTCTCAAATCAGTTTTTCAGCGTGCTGGTGGAGTCCAAGTCAGCAGAACTGATAGGACATCCTAGTTAACTTGTATTTCTCTCCCTCTTTCCCTGGGTTATTCCTTTACCTTTCTCCTTATAAATAAATCCATTATTTGACCTTTTTGAGTGTCCATAATATGATTGAGTCGTAAGCTCAGGTGAAGACCCACAGACGGGCAACTCAATTCACATTGGGGTGTCCTGTAACAGATTGACATTAATAGGGCCCCCCATTTCCTCAGTAGATCCGCCCCCAGCCCACCCAGTACAGTCCCTAGGCCGCACAACAGGCTGAGGAGCACTTAGTCAGCGGTGGAAAGGCGCTATCTCCACCACCAGCATACCCAGCATAGGCCCCAGGACACACAGCCGGCTGGAGAGGGCTTAATTAGCAGTCTCGCCACAGGCGGCATGGCCCCGTGCCCAACCAGTGTAGTCCACAGACCCTCCAACCAGCTGGGAGCACTTAATCAGCGGTCTCCCAACTGGCAGTGCAGACCCAAGACCCCACACTTAGTCACCGGACCATAGGCCAGATTGGGAGCTCTTAATTTGCGGTGCACCAGCCAGGAGCTCTGACCCCAGCTCAGCTAGCATAGACCCCAGCAGGCAGATCCATCTTGTGAGCGCTTAATTACTGGTCTCGCCACAGGGGACGAGCCCCCAGAAACAACCAGCTTAGTCCACATAAACTGCAGCTGGCTGGGGTGCGTTACATCAGTGGTTGCCCAAGTGGCAGGACGAACCCATGCCCTCAAGCTTCTTCACCAGACTGCCAGGCCAACTTGGGAGGCTTAATCAGCGGTGGAACTTCAGGTAGCTCCACCCCCAGCTTACCCTGTATAGTCCCCAGGCATCACAACCGGCTAGGGAGTGCTTAATCAGTGGTGGACCAGTGGTAACTCTGACCCCAGCCCAACCAGCATAGAACACAGGCAGCACAGACAGCTGGGGAGCTCTTAATCAGTGGTGGACCGGCGGTAGCTTAGCCTCCAGTCCACCAAGCTTAGACCCTAGGCCACACATTCCGCTGTGGAGCTCTTAATTATAGTCTCGCTACAGGCGCTGCAGCCCCAAGCCCAATCAGCATAGACCACAGACCGCTTAGCCGGCAGGGGAGCACTTAATCAGTGGTGGACAAACCGGTAGCTCCACCCCCAGCCCACCCAGCATAGTCACCAGGACGCATAGTTGGCTGGGAATTGGCTAATCAGCGGTGGACCAACAGGCAGCTTGGCCTGACCCAGCAAGCACAGTCCCTGGAGATACAACCTGTCTTGGGAGTACTTAAACAGTGGTCTATCATTCCTAGGCATCCCCCACGACATACCAGCATACACCCTGGACCCCACAGTCTGCTTGGGGTCCCTTAATCAGCGATGAAGCATCCATATGCAGGACCCAACCAAAACCACCATAGACCCAGAACCCACCATTCTCGGGAGAGTGCTTATTCTGTGGTCAAAAAATCGGCAGTGTGTCCCTAGTCCTCCCAGTTGGCTGGGAATCAATTACTCAGCGGTGGACACTATGGTAGCTCAGCCACCATCCCAACAAGTGTAGTCCCCATACCGCACGGCTTGCAGGAGAGGGTTTAACTAGCAGTCACCCACCAGCCAGTATGGCTCCAATCCGACCCAGCATAATCCCTGGACCTCCCAGAGGGTTTGGGAGCACTTAGTCATTGTTCTAACATCTCTAGGAGGGAACCAAGCCCAACCAGCATATTCCCCAGACACCCCAGCTGGCTTGGGATTGCTTAATCAAGGGTCAAACAGCCCCTGGCAGGCCCCAAGTCCAATCAATATAACCACAGGACGACACAACCCTTTGGGCAGCTCTTAATCCACACTCACAAAATAGCAATATCGCACAGGCCCACCCAGCTTAGTCCCAAAATTGCCCATCTGGCTGTGGAGCACTTACTAAGAGGTGGTTGAGCCCTTAGCTCTGCCCCCAGCTCACCCAGAATTGTCCTCAGGCCTCACAGCCATCTGGGGAGCGCTTAATAAGCACCCTTTCAACAGGCGGCGTGGACCCAGGTACAACAACTGGAGCCACAGACACCCCAGATGGATGGGGAGCGCTTAATCAGCGGTCGCCTAACTGGCAGGGTGGACCCAAGCCCCCAAACTTAGTGACCTGGTAGCCAGGCCAGATTGGGAGCACTTAGTCAGGAGTGGACCAGTTGGTAGCTCCAACCCCAGCCAAACCAGCATAGTTCCTAGGCCACACCACCATCTGGGGAGCTCTCAGTCAGCAGTGGACCAGCGGTAGCTCTGCCTCCAGCCCACCCAGCATAGACCCCAGGCCATACAGCCGGATGCGGAGTGCTTAATTTGTGGTCTTGCCACAGCGGTGCTGCCCTGGACCTAACCAGCATAGGTCACAGTCCGCCAGCCTGCTGAGGAGCATTGTACCTGCCGATAGCTCTTCCCATAGATCACGCAGTGTAGTCCCCAGACTGTACAGCAGGCAAGAGAGTGCTTAATGAGCGGTCACCCAACAAACATCATAGCTCCAATCCCATCCAGCATAATCCCTGGACTATTCAGAGGGCTTGGGAGAATTTAGCCAGCAGTCTAACATCCCTAAGTGCCTAAGTGGGGCCCAAGCCTGGTCTCATATTCCACAGACACCCAAGCCTGCTTGGGAGCGCTTGATCAGGCATCGAACAGCCCAAGGCAGGATCCAAGGCCAATCTGCATAGTCCAGGGATCCTCCTGTCGGCCGGGAAGTGAATAATCAGCGGTCGCTGAACAGACAGGGCGGCCCCAGACCCAACAAGCAGAGTCCCCAGACCTCCCAGCATGCCTGGGAAAGCTTAATTAACTGTCCAACAGTCGTAAGTAGA